TAACTTAATTGTTAATGACCCCTAGTGTAAAAGAGCTGAATGTATTCATTACTAAGTGTTAAAATGCTGCTGACTGGTAGCATTGTAGCTGAATATCTTCGAAGCATCCCATGAGAAATGATGCTGGGGATTAACATGGAATTCATTTGAAGTAATCTTTAATTGTTATTGTAACATATTTTGTATATAAGACTTTCTGTTCATGTTTCTGTTCTGGTCAGCAAGTAAGAACACAAATGGGTGTCATTGTGTGTCTGAAATGACATTTATCTTCTTGAAATAGAGCTTTGCCATATAGAAGTTGATTGCAAAGGTGTTTGTTTTTGTGTTGTAAAGTGGGATTTGCTCCAAAAGACTCTTCAGGCCTCTCACACAGTCATCTCTTAGTGCAGGACTGAGTACAGTGACATTAATTTTTACAGCAAAGTGAAGCTGGGGATCTTGCTTCTGCTATGGAACAAGTTCTCTCCCCCCACCCTGCCCATAAAATATGACTGTAGTTTGTGGGCTTTTTTATTGCATTTTTGTGGCAGACTGCTAGGGCAATAGCTTAGTCTTCAGGGTTCTTTTTTCATTCTCTTCAGCAGTCAGAAACAAGACCTAATCAAGATTTTCCATTTCTGTGTATCAAAATTTCCTGTTTTAAAGACTGCTATGTAGCACTGGAAGAGCTGGGAAACTCAAGCCATCCACCTTATTGCATCACATTGTAAGAATAATCTGTAGCTGATGCTTTCTTTCCTAATGCCGAACATTTGCAGAGCGTGTGCATGGGGAGGAAGGCAAGTAGGATGAAAAGGCCAGACTGCAGTTCCCTGGGCTGCAATCAGGGCATAGTGTGTCCTTCCAGCTGCTGGGCTGCAGCTGATTCACCACAGCTCTGTGGACCTTTGCGCTTTAGAGCCAGGTGCGTCTTCTACCAGATGTGGACATTCGGAATAAGGCCACCCCAGAATTAAAAAATAATAATAATCATAATTAGAGGATGTTGGGCTTAGACGTATTGTCCCTAGATGCTTCAGGGTGTGTTATTTGATCTGGGAAAGGGAAAGCCCCTGGGTGGGGAAAATATAATTTCCTGTGTGTAAAACATTTGAGCACTTTTTTATTTTTTATTTTTTTAAGGTCTGCCGTCTTCATTAAATGTCTGATTTTGAAATCTGTATTCAAACAGTTTTCCTTTGTGACTGCAGTTGCCATTTACAGAGCTCGCAAGCCCCTTGTTTTTTGTAGCTTTCCTTGGATTCATTTGCAGGGGAGCGTTCTGTTTCCTCTGTAAGTCGTTTGGAATATATCTTCACTAGCTCTGTAGCCGGAGGGTTTGTATGTCATTCAAAAATAAAAATAAAAAATCTCCACCTACTGAAAAGTGAGCAGCATAGCCCTAGCAACCAGACTGCTGTGTCGGGACCAGAGGAGAGGACACTGAACAAGTAAGGCCAACTAGCATAATCTCTCTAACAGACAGGGATGCAGTGGAGATGTAGTCAGTGATAGGATTGATTGCAACCAATAGAGCAGATAGCTGCATGTGTTTGTTTTCAATTTTTTTAAATGGTGGATTGTAAACACAGCCTTGATGAAGCAGTGCTTGTTCTTGTCAGTATGAGCTCAGTGTTCAGCTGGGAACTCTTAGAAGAGAGACCTGCTTCTTTAGAAAAATAATTGAACAACCCCCCACCCCAGCTTGCACCGATTGTGCATATTCACGGGAGGAATACAAAAGGTAAGTCATTTTCTTGGAAAGCAAGGGAAAGCTTGTTTAAATGGTCTGTCAGACAGGGTGCTGTCAGTGCCTTCCTCCCAGCTGTGCTCTTGGCTGTGTTCTGCCAGGAGTGCGTTTCATGTGTCTGCCTTCTCCCTGGGCTCTGTGTGTGCCATGGTTTCTTGTTCTGCCATGTCATAGATCTGTCTGCATTAAAATGATTTCCCTATTTGATTGTTCTTGTGAATGAAAGAAACTGAAACCACTCAGTCTCCTCTGAAATATTACATATTTCTTATTTCCTTAAGGAACTTTTTTTAGGATTTTTTGCTTGTTAGCTGATACTGGAAGGAAAAAAAAAAAGTCCGTGAGTTTTTTCCAGGTTATCATTTTATTACAACAGGATTGTAAAAAGCAAAGCAAAGAAAGGAGCATTTTTTACAGGAAAGGTCAATTGGTTTAGTGGTCAGCAGGGGCTTCTCTCAAGCCTTGTCAAGTCGATGCTCTGATAAGGCACAGTGAGTAATCATTTGCTGTTACAGTGTGGTCTTTCTATAATCCACAGAAGACTCTGATTTACAACTTTGTCTAATAATTGCATTTGTCTCCTCCCTGCACCTTCCCTTCCCATGTTCTTCCTCCTGCTGTTTGTTGTCTTTTCTTGTTTTATGCATTTTGGTTCTTTAGTTTGCTGGTGTATGAGGTCTTTGATTTCCTCCCTACCCATCCACTCCCTGTGTGCTAGAGGTGGTGTGCAAAGGATAAAAGCGATTCTGTGCCATTACAAGGGAAGAATGCTTCCAAAATTGTTTTTTTATTGCAACAGTTTTGCTTCCTGACTGCTGGATGGGATGTACTGTGCTGGGAGAATGGCCAGAGCAGTATGTGCTGTTCCAGCCTAGTTTTCAGTGACCACTTTTAAGACCAAATAGCTGGGCAAATGGGATCTCATTGCATCATGTCCAGCTGTTTGGTTAGGGGCTTTTTTTTTTTCTTTTGCTTCTTCAAGTTTCTCAGCTGTAGGCTTGTTCTGGCAGTTGAAAGATGCTCCACAGATGGTGGAAGGGTTTTTGGAGAGCACTGTGATCTTGTGGTCTTCACCAGATTTTATTGTAGAATTTTTCACTGTTGGTCCTGAAGGTGCAGCTCCTTTCAGGATAGCAGGGAAGGAAGCTGTGTGCAGGCTGACATCTTGCTGGCCTCAGAGGGTAGGGCCAGGTAATAGCAGGGAAATGCTGGAGGCATCCTGGTTGCTGTCCCTCCCACTGTCTGCCCTGCAGCTCTCATCAGTACTCAGTAGCTGTCTTGGGGATTTTTGGTCAGCACAGACTACACTTCTGTTTAGGAAGAACAAGAAGTGGGTTTTTTAGAAATTGGCCTGGGGGGCTGTGCCTAGATGAAGTGCAAAGGGAGATTTATCTCTTGCTGTGGCTGTACTATTGAAGCATAAAGTAGCAGCTCCTTGCCTCCACTTAATGTCTTTCCAAAACATAAGGTAAAAAATGGGGTGCAGTGTGGGCAGATGTGGTAAGGGATAAAGTTTTCCCTTATTATATCAGACTTTGAGCCTGCAGATAAAATGTTTCCTGGAATTTCCTGTGTTTTAATTTGTTCCCACTAGCCCATGTCCTGTCATTGGGTGCTGCAGAGAGTCTGGCTCTGTAGTCTTCGTTGCTTCCCATCAGGTGTTAAAGCACACTGTTGAGATAGGCGCTCCTAGTTCCCATTTATTAATTGGCTGTTATAATTTTGTGGGTGATCCTTTTCCACATGGAGCTACAAGGAATCAGGATTTTGTCTGCAGCATCAGCAGCAGTTCTGTGGCTGTGTACTCTTGGTTTGCAGAGGGAAATCCAATGTCAGTCATTCACACTCTGCCTATACTTACTAGAATTTGTCAGGATCTGGATATTGCAGTGAGGAAATCCTAAAAGAGAAAGGATGAGACTGTTTTCAGAATTGTCCGTGAGAATACCTTTGCAAAAATAGTTTCCTGAACCTTTTAAGCAGGCATAAAGGCATTGGTCTATATATCTTGCTGGAGCTGCATACTGTGCAGGGTTGTATGCTTGAAGTTTATTAATTAAACAATGTTTAAAATCAGACTCTGCCTCCTTGAAGGCTGGAAGTCTTCAACTGTGGTGCTTCCACATTTCTAAAGGTTTGCTGTGCTTTGACTTCCAGCTATTTTGACTTTCTGAAGTTCTCTCAAGCTTTTCTAAAGTTCTCTTGGCTTTTATAACTCTGGCAACTAAGTAATAATAAAGCTAGGCATTTGCCAAAAGAGCATTAGTCTTTGTGTTGCCATTCAAAAGTTATCTTAGAGTTTGGACCTTTTTTATATGTGCTGTGATCGAGCAGATGAAGTATTTGCTGGTGTTTCAGGTCTGGCATTTCAGCAAAGCTGGCTGGCAGCCTCCAGTAACAGCTACCTCACGCTGGGTCAAACCAGTAAGGTGATCTGTAGGGGGGAAAATGTAGTTTATAAACATGTATTTCTGGTACGTTTTGGTTTTAGTAGACTCTGTTCCAGGACTTAACCCAGAGATACCGTGAACAACTTTCTTAATTGCTTATGTTGGGGCAAATGTCAGCAGCTGTACGGCCTAATACAAAAACCAATTAGCAGGATATGCAAAAGGTTAAAGTGCATTTTCCTTCCTGGTGTTTGTTTAATGGCGTTCTACAAGTGTGCGTATAGCAGAAGTAGTCTATCCTGTTCTAGATGAAAGCAGTGGCAGTCTGGGCTGTTTCCGTGGCTTGTGTCTGTTGTGCTGGGCTGGAAGGATCAGCTGCACCTCAGACCTGTGGCCTCAGCTCCACCGAGCACCTGAGCATGTGCTCACTTCACAGCAGTGCTGTCCTCGAGCCCACTGTGGTTCCAGCTCCACTCCATGAAGACAGCTGCTCTGCTAGCTAGTTTTTGTGGACTTAACTGGGAATACTCTGAGGTCCAGTTCTGACTTTCAGGAGCTTCATGGTGAGAGCAGGTGCAGCATTGCAGTATGGATCAACACTAGGCTGGAAGTGACGTCTTTAGTGGGGTTTAATTCTGACTTGTTGCTTCTTGTTAGCGTTAGAAGGCCTTTTGTCTTCTGTGCAAGGTTCTCTGAAGTGCCAAAGAGGAGCCTGGGTCATTAAGCTGGTGCTTTGATTATTCAGAATGCCTGTCCAATCCTGATGATGAATGTCTCACATCTTGTGGACAGCAAATGTCCCCAGTTTTGTTATTGGTCTAGTGATGGTGGTGTCTGAATTCAGAGAACATGCAGTGAAGTGAAATTCTGTTTTGCAGATTGAACAGCTGACTTGAGGCTCTGGATCCAACTTGCACTGCTGGTGTTTTATTGTTCCTTGTGGTGTAGCTGGTGATTGTCCCCAAGAAGAGAGAAGATGATGAGTGATGCAAGTGACATGCTTGCTGCGGCCTTGGAGCAGATGGATGGCATAATAGCAGGTAAATGCTCGGAGCTGCTTGTTCGTTTAACTGCTTCAGTTCTCCTTTTTCATATTCAGAATGTGGAGTGCCAGGCTGGGGTCAGAATGTGCTTGTGATTTTGCTAGGTATCTTGCCTTGTTACTTAGACATTACAGGCACATGGAGTTGGGTGTATTGCACGCTCTAACACACAGGCACAGCTGAATTGGTTGCAGGTTTTCTCCCAGCCTGTATCAAAGTGCTGCTTGCAGAGGCTGAGTTCTTCTGGTACACACAGCACCCTGAAAGCCAAGGACAGTGAACATTTCAAACCGGGGTAAGTGTGTTTGAAGAGCTACTGCAAAGCAGGAAGAGAAAGATTGACTAATACCAGCTATTCTGGCCATCACTTAATTCGCAGGAGTTAAAACATGAATTGATTTTTCCTTTTCTCAGAGTTGGAATGCTGTGGGTCTAAATGGTTGGTCTGGACCTACCTTTAGTATTAGCACTTTTTATAAGTACCTGTAAATTTTAAGTGCTCTAAAGAGAGGGATCAAAAAGTATACAACTTGGACTTTTTATGTTGCATATAATGAGTTGGAAAATAATATAAATTCACAATGCAGGGGAGCAAGGTAGCAATTAGTTAATATTTCAATCTTATTCCTGCAAAGCTATGCAGACAACTACCTGGTTTGAGAAAATATTCTGTAAGAGTAGCAACACGGTTATGAAATCTTTAGCAGTTCCACCTAAAATAGTTTCCCTCAGGGAGGAAAAAAAAAAAATCATACAGTGTGTGTTTTGCTTGAACAACAACTTTTCTCTACAGTTTTCTTAAAAGTATTAAGAACATATAGCAGGCACATGTGTGAAGTGGATTCAGTTGGATCATAATGACCTCTAAAAATACATTTAAGCTGTGACTTTGGAAATTTCCATAAGTAGATACTGGTATTTGGATCAGATAGCGCCATCTGTGTTTCCAGGAGCCTAAGTTGGTTATGGTAGGATAAGATTTAATATTTAAAAAAAAAAAAAAAGCTATTGAGGTGTTTAAGTTACCACAGACCTAATTTATCTATGTGTCTGAGCAGACCTAATAAACAATATAATAAAAGTATACCAGCTCTTATGCTTTTGTGGGGATTTTTCTCTATTTTTTTTCTGAAGGGAATTATGCTTGCATTTTTTTGGCTTCGCAGATGAGATGAATGAAGGTTCATGGCAGGGCATGTATGCAATATCTCTGTAGTTTCCAAAAGTTGACAGTACAAAAGCTGATGTTCTGTGATGAGCACATCTCATTGTGCTGAGGCTTTACAGTATTAAGGCCACGAATCAATGTGCTGAAATTCTGGTTGGAATTAGCGGGGTTTATTAAAATCAACTTTAATCCTGAATTTGTAGTTTCCTTCCTTACTTAGTGTACAGCAACTTTTAATGTAGGTCAAACATAAATACTGTGAGTTTATGCAAATAAGAGATATATTTGTCTTTATTAACATGCAAACATCAGTGCTAACATGTCTAGCTGCTGAACTTTATTTTTTTTTCCTTGTTGAAGTGATTTATTCTTTTTAATTGTCTTCATATGTCTCTATTCTTGAAAAAGTAAAACAAAATTCCAGTGCACTGGAGCAGCGTAACAAATTTCTGCATGAAAAGTACTGAGCACAGCTTCCTCTGGAAACCATCAGTGTCTGACTTGGGTCGTGCAGCCTCTACAGGGTGACTCAGAGCATTACCAGCTGAGCCTGTTCCCTCCACAGTGCTTTCAGCCTCCAATATGTCCTTGAGAGCAGCAGCCCAGCTTATGCTTTGAGCTGTTGGGCACTCTTGTGCCACGTGTCTTCTGTCTGATCAGCCACCTCCTTCTATCCACTAAAACTGTCAGAGATGTTGAAACTCCAAACACGTCAGCAAGGGCTTACCCCCCTCCAAATTGCAAGGTGATACAGGGCACAGTGCATGGAGGGGGCACAGTGCAGCACGTGCACTGAATTTGTTTCAGATCGATTCCCACCAGCAGCAAAGGCCACGTGACATTTCTAATTCTTGCTGCAGGTCTCCCATCACTGCCTGTCCTATTTGCTTGTCCTGTGCCTCACTGTGTGGTTTTACTCTACCCAGGTTCGAAGGCGCTGGAATATTCCAATGGCATCTTTGACTGCCAGTCCCCCACTTCCCCTTTCATGGGGGGCCTGCGGGCGCTGCACCTGGTGGAGGACCTGCGGGGCTTGCTGGAGATGATGGAGGCAGATGAGAAAGAGGGTCTGCGCTGCCAGGTCCCAGACTCAACAGCAGAGGCTCTGATTGAATGGCTCCAAAGTCAAATGGTACGGTCTCACTTTCTTTCACCTGTGTTTTATGCTGGGCTGTTGGAAGCTTTTGGGTTGGTTTCATAGAACCAGATGTACATGGCTTTGTTCCAGAGGTGCTGCTGTGTGGCCTCAGAAAAGCTGCTGCCCAATATCTCGTGCAGTGACTTGACCTTTGCTTTCTTTTGTGTACACTGTGTCTTGTTTTGGTGAGCAAAAAGTTTTCAGTAAATGAATTTTGTTTCAGAGGATTGAGGAAAGGCATTTTATAGGAGTCAGACACATAAATGGAAAAAAAAAAAAATGTTGCTCTCAATGTTAACTTTTCACTAAAAAGCTTTTTTGGCAGAGTATTTTCTACAGGGGCCAGAGTTGTTACTGGGTTTCTTTACCTGATTTATAATAGAAGTGAGTGGTAAAAGCTCAGCATCCCTTTAACCTAGAAACCGAACAGTATTTATATTTTCTGTGTTTATAAATCCACCATTTTTTGTCATCTCTATTTTAAAAATACATAAAAACATACCAAGTAAGGTTGTTGTCTCCCTACGTGTTGGCTTTCCCAAAAATCAAATAGGGTTAAAAACAGAGGCTACGTGAAAAGTACAGCGGGAAAGAACATGTGTTTATCAAAAGGCAAGTTACGTGGCATCATTGTCTAAGCTCTGACTGGTTTTGCCTCTGTGTGCCCTGTGACTGGTGACATCCTAACAGGGCCATCAAGGAGTCCTTGTGCTCAAATTGTGGCAGTTTGCCTTGCTGTAGTGGCATAGGTGTGCATAGATTTCAGAGATGCTCTCACGTTAGGAGTCAAGGCTTCTTTCTGAAGGCTGTTTCAGGGCTAAAATCAGCCTGCAACTGTTACAGCAGCTGAGGATGTGTGCTTCTGCAGATCATATTACCACATCTGCCTATGGCAGTGCTCTGGTCTGTTCTCCTGACACACGTGGCATTGGCCAAAGTGATGCCATGCTGCTGGTTTGAGGCTTGCTAGCTGATGAATGCAGGTCTGATGCTGGACAGGCCAGCTGTGGTGGCTCTGTGTTGCATTGCTACTGCTGGTGGCTGTCAACAATGGAAGCTGCCAATCACCTTCTCCCTTTGCAGGATGGATGTGATGCCTCCCCTCAAAAGGGACTTGGTCTCCATGGGGTTGTGGATGACAGTATGGGATGGCATTTCTCTCTCGATTTTATCTCTGTGCTCAGATAGAGCAGGCCACACTTCAGCCCAACGTGCTTCCCTGCCAGCATGGCGGAGCTTGGCGTGGAGAGACCTGATGTGCCACCTAGCGGTGTGCAGGCTGGGTGCAGCACTCTGGGACAGAGAGAGAACCAGGGTGACGCAGCTTATGTAGCCCTTGTGAAAAGATTTGAGTGGAGAGAGGTGTTTTTTTTGTTTGTTTTTGTTTTTGGGGTTTTTTTTGTTGTTGTTGTTTGTGTGTGTTTTTAATGATTTTATTTTGCTTTCAACTACTCATTTCAGAGTACCTCAAACTTACTGAAACACACAGGAGCTTTTCTACTGACTCCACTGGTGCTTGGCTCTCACCATCACTGTCAGTATCACAGTCACCATTATTAAGATGGGGAGGAGGAGGCAGAAGTGACATTCAGTCAAATCTTTGAAAAACACGGAGATCTTGCTAACATCAGCATTTCATTCTCCTATAACATGCAGCAGTGAACATTGCTGTAACTAGTCTCTGCTCTGTCTGGAGCAGAAGTCAAGAGGCTTCACAGGTTTCGTGCAAGTATGGCCTTGAAAAATAAATGTCCATGTGCTACATAAACAGTCTTAGAAAATTAACCTTTGCCCGTGGGGTGCATAGTTAATGGTAGTCCATTGTTTAGCAATGCTGGTTTAGCATTTACTCCCATTCTTGAATAAAGGAGCCCAACAGCACAGCTCGAGGCTGCAGTGTCTGCTGAGATTAGTGAGGTGAAGGGCAGGCATTGCCCTGTGGGGCTGCAAATGTGTGATTCAGGGATGCCTGGCTGCTAGGAGCTGGAATGAGATCCTTCAGACTCATTTGACATGGATCACCGCATCTTGGTGAGGCAGTAATGGTTTTCATTGGAGCTGTGAGCTGAATCTGGAAGAGGAAGGGCTCTATTATGCTATTCAGCTTACAGCCACCTGAGTACTGAAAACAATTCTGCAAAAGGCAGCAGAAAATAACTATTATTTCTGTTTTCCTCAGTCTGCCTGAATGATTCTCTCTGGCATCCTTAAAAACCCCAAGTAGGAAAAACTGAAAGTTGGGCTTTGTACTCTGCTACAGGGATTTACAGGTGCCAACAGTATCACCATCCCTATCTGAGCAGGGCAGGTGTTAGGTAAACTGCCCAGGCAATTTGCAGGAAGGCTTTCTGAAACAGTGTCCATTCTTACAGAGGAAGGGAAAACACCTCCCTGGAGTGAAATTGGTTTAATCCTCAATGCATGAACAAGTTGCAGCCACCAGACTATTCAAAGCTGCTAGAACTGGTGCATGACATCCCATCCAAAGCTGTAACCACGCTTCTCATGTCTCAAAGGAAAACAAAAATAGTGTTCACTGCTGCCAAACAGTGTGTCACAAGAGAAAAATCCTCCCCTGGTCTCCAGAGAGAAACTGCTGATGCCCTAGTTGGGAAAAGGGTCTGAACATAGTCTCCTGAAGTTTCTCACTCCTGTAAAATAAGGCAGAGGATTCAATTTTGCCATGTCCAAATGAGCTGCCTTCTGTCCCTGTGCCACTGCGATCTCCTCCTTTCTGCTCTTCTCTGTGTGCATGGGTAGTACTAGAGAAGTCTGTGACATGTACTCAGAAAGGACTGAAGAGTTATAGTGCCTTATCCTGAATTTTTTAACCAGTGGATGCCAGATGGCCACGTGACGCCAGAGCACGTGCACAGAGTGCTGACATCTGGCAGAGCATTTCTAGGAGGAGTGGTCAGATGGCTCCCCTGGGGAGTTCGAGGAGTTGTAAGTGCGGCATTGTCTTGCACAAATAAACTGGTTTAACTGCAACATGTCGCTTCCACTTGTCCGTTTACAGCTGAAAACTAATCTCTGTGTTGCTGAAACATCTCCTTGTACAAATGGATGGCAGGTAAATGCTGCAATTTAAGCTGGAAATGAGGCCGTTTGTTCAAAATCTAGAAAACAACTGAAGCCTCCCCTAAGCTCAGAAGTGCTAGGACTGTATGCTTGCTCTGGGGACCAGCTGTGAAACGCATTTCCAGATCACAACTATTCCAGAGTCTTGGGGCTTTTCAGGTCGCTTCTGATCAACAGAAATGCATAATATATTCTGATGTGTGCTTTAATGAAACATATGCTGTAGCCTGGTTGTGGAGCTTCTGGTTTGAATACAGACATGTAAGCAATCTGTAACATGGTCACCAGTAACAAGACCATCTCAGTTGAAATTCTGCCTCTTGCAAGACCAAGACCATGGTGTTGGGGTTGTTGGAAATGCCAATGGAAGTTGATCTGTTCATTTCTTGAAGAACAATTCTCAAAATAATTGCTTCTGGTTGTTGCAGTTTCTCTTCAATTGAAATAAGCAAGACAGTTTTATTTCTGATTTTTTTTCCCACTTAAAAAAAAAAATACATTTTATTGAATCGACCTTCCCAAAAAGAGGAAACCAGATGGGTCTTATTGAAAAGAGGGGTGAAGGGTAAATGTGGACGGGCAGTTCCTGAGTGTCTGAGGCCCCTTGGTGTGCTCAGCCCAGAGCAGAGGAGCTGAGGGCAGGCCTGATGGCGGCTGCAGCTCCTCACCGGGAGCGGAGGGGCAGCGCTGAGCTCTGCTGTGTGACAGCGACAGGGCCGGGGGAACGGCATGGAGCTGTCAGGGACAGGGGCTGCAGCACAGGGCGGTGGGCACAGCCCCAGACTGCCAGAGTTCAAGAAATGTTTGAACACTGCTCTCAGACATAGGGTTTGAATTTTGGATGGTCCTGTGTTAAGCCAAGGCTTAGACTCAGTGATCCCTGTGGGACCCTTCCAACTCCAGAGATTCTGTGACTTTTTCTGTAAAACTCCCCGTGGACCATAGCAACAAGTGCAACTGTGATTTTAACTCTCTGTGGCACTGTGTTGAATATGATGAGAGTATTAAAAAAATGAGAAACTTAATGGCCTTTGAAGATTTCTCAAAGAATGCTGCCAACTCGCTTGGGGATGACAGTGTGAGCTGTGGTCTCCATAGAGACTTGTGCAATCCAGAGTGGCATCTCACAGACCACCCTCAGCTTTTGACATTCTTTCAAAAGTCCGTTCTTGAGTGTAGTGAGAGTTAATCACAGAGGGAAGTTTTCCTGCTTGGATAAACACAGCTTGTAGTCTTGCAGAGATAGACTAGCCTGTCTGGAAGACGGTGATTCCCAAGTGGTGGAAGTGGTTTGGTTAGCCAGAAGTCATTGCATGTTTTTATTCATGGAAACATCTTGTCTTCAAACCAAAGTTTGTTGTTTGATTATCTTAGTGTGGGCGTGCGGTGCATTCATTTGGCTCAGCTTGTGTTTATGTTGAGTTTAGCTATTGAAAGTAATGTGTTGCACATCGGTTTTACCACCAAGCACCTGTCTGAGATCTCTCCTTGAGCTAAAGAATGAAAGGAGTCTTGTGATACTCCACTAGTCTGTCATTATAAACTGCCTCCTGGTAATACTTTTTGTTCATGAGAGATCTACCTCTGAAAACTCTTGAAATGCTTCTTGATAAGAACGATCATCCAGACTGGTGTGCTTTTAATATTGGAAGATGATATAGGTTCATTATCAGCATGTCTTGGCATGGCATTGTCATGCCTGGCAGAGTTCATCAGCGGTGAGAACCACCTGTACAGTCATGCCCTGGAATGCAAGGTAGCCCCAGTGGTACGGCAGTTGAAAATCACCATTCTGACTCCAGAACGCATCTGTTTAGCTTGAAAAGCACAGCTGCTGATCTTCTTCTGCTCTATTTTTTTATTCTGGATTGTTCAGCATGCCTGTTTTTGAGACTTTTAGTCTACCAACATTA